CGCACACACACACAGAAATAAAAGAAAATCTTGCTTACGGTACCTACTCGCAGCCCATAGAAGAATCAGAACCGAAGAATGTCTAAAGCGGATGCAAAATATAACAAAGTCAGTTCAGATACACGTCAAGATCCTGTATTTCCTCTACGTGGTCTTTGTGACAAGCAAGGTTTCAAGGTTGGAAATAGTTCATTGTTATGAGCGCTAAAGATAAAAGTCTTGACACAATAAAGTGATCGGAAAAGTAACGGTTACGTATTAAAGTAATGTCCAATTACTTTTGCCGTCAAGTAATGAAGTAATCTAATCGAGTGCTTTTAGCTAAGAGTAATAGTAATTGTAATCGATTACTTCTTTTTAGTAACGTGTACAAGACTGCCCATGAGTTAATTTATTCCTCAACGTGAACAAAACAATGAATACATTATTTTGTATTCTGCAGATGGTGATGATATGTACTAGTAGTCTGTGGTGTTAATTTAAATGCGATACCTCAAACAATTTAGACGAAAAAACTTACCAAGTTTAGGCATAATTGCCCGTAGATACATGTTTGGATATTTCTTCGAAACTCGCCTTGAAAAACAATAATCATATCTTAAGACGACACTTACCTACGCTATACATATATCATTCCTTAAATGTTTAACATCTCTATCATAAATAGCTTCGGCTATAGCAAGCTTCAAATATGGCACGAACAACAATTGTCAAAAACCCGTCGTCCTTCCTCGCTCCTTCGAGAATCTTTTTAAAACCAAGCATGCCAGATGGTAGGAATAAACAGCATTGTCTTTCGCAAGGGATGCGGCACCGCATGTAAAAATGCGAAAAAAAAGAGAAAACTACGAATGTACCTCATTGCTTGAATCCAAATGAAACCGCCCGCCGGTCTTTCGAAGTTCGTTGAACTTTTGGCTTTTCAGGAATGGAAAGTTCGACGATTTTCGAATTCTTTAGATTAATAGGCTCGAAAGTTCGAAATTATCGAATTTCTTAGCGTAGGAAGTTCGAAAGTACAAAATGCTACGAACGTTTTAGTGCAAGAGGTTCGAAAGTTGGAAAATCATCGAAGTTTTTAGTCAACCAAGTTCGAAAGTTTGACAAGCATAAAATTTTGCAGGGTAATAAGCTCGAAATTTCGAAAAACGTCGGACTTTTAGTTTAACAAGGTCGAAAATTCGATTTCTGTCGAATTTCTCGATACGAAAAACCGGAAAATTGAAATTGTTCGAACCTTTCGAACCGCTTGATTCGATCATCACACCTGCGGTTCAAAAAAAGTTCGCGGCATCTCTAATAAATAAATACCCTGTCAGTGTCCCTTTAAGTCCGGTAGCAGCTGCCGCCATCCAGCCACTGTTTTTAATATAAGGAGCTATAACCGCTACCTAAATTACAAAAAAATTACCTCGTCGGCTTGACGCCTCATGACGACCAGTAGATGGTTGCTTTGGTTTTGTGTCGGCAGATTTTGCCAAAAGAAGGCTTGTCATGAAACCGGGTGGCGCGGGAAGGAGCTCTCTTGAGTCGTGGACAGACCGGCTTGACTCGAACAAAGCTGCCAAGCGGGAGCTGAGAAAGCCGTCCGGCAACTGGGTTTTGGCGACGTTGTGTTTTCTCGGAAGTGGGCGGACACAAGAACAACCTGGGAACGGGGGGCGAGTCTGTAATTGGGGAGGAGGGAGAAGGACGCTGCCTATCCGGCGCCGGGAAGAAAAGACGGGAATGTGAGAGGAGGACAGCGAGGGGCCGAAGAGGGCAGAGACAGGAGTTTGTGGGAGAAACATCGAGAGAGATTTGAGATATGGAGAATCAGTTCAGGGAGCCGATGAGAGGTTGAGAGAAGGATATCTGAGCAGCGACCGCGGAGTTTGAAGAATGAACTGCACTTTTGTCTATATTGTAAATATTGTGTAAATACAACGCATATTAAACCAGTTATACTCGAAGCGTCACCGTCCTTGGATCAACTACGAAAAAGAGGCGCAACGTGGGCGATAGCGGCCATCGTCAACAGCAGCGCGACACCGGGTGTCAACGATCTTATCATCACGAGGCTACTTTGAGTAAATGTATTTAATCGAACGTAACAACTTAGATCTTCAATTAAATTTATTCCATCCTCAAGTAATTTGGAGATTCATGTGATCCCCGCGAATTAAGGTAGAACTTAAGGTGGGCGCGAGCGTTTAAAACACTGACACTCAACAATAGATCGAATATTCGTAATAAATCTGTAGAACATTCCCGTTCAAACCAGCGACTTATGCAGGGCCTTGAAGAAGGTATACCACAAATTGTTCCTTCTGAAATGAAGCGAACTCAACCTAGACCCTAACGTACTTACGTGGATTGAAAGTTTTCTGGCCAACCACCTACAATTTGTAAGTACAAATGATTATGATTCCCCTCAGAGTTCTGTCGTATCTGGTGTTCCTCAGGGTTCCGTTTTAAAACCTTTACTATTAATCATTTACGGTAAGGACTTACCACTGTGTGTTTCACTCGCTGACGCTTTGTGATTTATAGGGAAAGTACAAATAATACTTTCTGCTGCTTCAAAAAAAAAATGAAATGCTGTACCCGATTGGTGTGAACAATGGCACATGACCCTAAACACTAACAAATGCCAAACAATAAGTCTCGCGTCGTAACATATCCCCTTCCACCTAGTACTTTATAGCGTTCTCTTGCTTTATGCAACTTCCTATAATATCTTGGTGTGACCCTTACTTATAACCTATCCTGGCACACCCAGAAGGATCACATCCTCGCTAAAGCCAATTCAATTATAGGCAACCGGAAACGAAACTTTTATTTAGCTCCTGTCTCTCTCTCAAACTCTGGTTATACAAATTTCTTGTTCGCTCAAAAGTAGATTAGTCTGCCACAGTTTGGGATCCTGGTCTGACCACACTGACATTTAACCTAAGATAGCTTCAAAACCGCAGTGATCGTCTTATACTTGCCGATTATCATCGTACGGCGAGTGTAACATCAATGAAAAATAACCTTTATTTACCTCTTCTTTCTTTACGCCGTCGTTGCTCTCGTTTGTGTTTTTTTTTTTTTTTTACTGACTACATTATACTAGCTCATTCCTCGGAGAGAAACTAACCCTAAAACCAACTTCCAATTCTGCACGCATCGTTCATCAGTTCGGAGTAGGCCTTCCCCACTGTCAGATCACAGCTCCTTTCAATTCTTTCATACCTAGAACGTCATCAGAATGGAACTGCCTACCAGCATCTTTTGTAACAATACTCTCGTCTGATGTGTTCGAAACTGCCATTACTAATTAATTTTCTCGTGAAAGTTTTCTGTTACTGTGTTGATATTTCTAATTTATGTATATTTCGTTGTGTCGTCTACCCTCTCCGTAATGTCCTATGAACCTTGAGGGTATTGGAATAAATAAAAAAAATAAAAACGAAAAACGCTGCTAGAATTCACGTCAAATACATTTTGTTAAAATATTTGTTACGCCTGAGAGTCGCCAGCAAGAGCTAGTGATTCTCAGGTGAACAGAAGAATTATATAGTATCAAATGAAGCTTCAATAAAATATCTTGGTATTGTTTTAACTTACTGCACGTGGAATGCACACGCTGACCTTGTCATTATGAAGACGGCTGAAGTATTTGGCTTTGTTCGACGTAACCTGAAAAATGCTCCACAGTAAATAAAATAACTCGCGTACCTCGCCTACGTGCGACCTATTATAGATTATGCTTGCACTGCGTGGAACCTTTATAAAGCATTTATATTTTGGCAAAAATCCAGAATCGTACCGCTCGACTTATCCTGGGCCAATGCGACCGATTTTCAAGCGTCACTATATGAAAACGTTACTAGGCTGGTGTCCTTTGAAGTTTCGGCGCCAGAACATCCATTTAAAATTTTTATCAAGTATTTTTATAAAGTGTAATGCACACACTGAACGGCCTATCTTACCATTTTGAAAACCTTAATATTTGTCTCACCTCAAGGATCATATGCCCAAAATGTGCGAGTTCAAGACCAGAACAGAGCTCTGCGTAGATTTTTGTTTTGTTTTTGTTAAAACAGTAAAGGACTGGAGCGCGGTTGATGAAGTTACGGTTTATGCTGAAAAGGCTGGCAAGTTCATTTTTCTTGTTGTTCGCCCACTGCGATAATGCCATACCGGCGCGGTTGTAGCGAAATGAATAAAGAAAGAGATCGACAACATACTCGCGAACACGTTGTATGGGCGAAAAGCTCATGTCGCGAAGCCAGCGCGCTTACTGAAGGGTGAAGCTGAGTACGGAAGCTCTCAGGTATCCTAGAACCTCCGTTCTCAAAGGAATTCACTTTGTCCAATAAAAAAAAGGTTATAAACGCTATATATACTGTAAAAAAAGTATTTTTCGCGGGCTCAATACTTCGCGATTAAGGTCAAAGGTGAAGTTTTGGAATAATTCGCGGGTTCTAATTTTTGCGACCCGGTGGGATATCAATATAAATTCTGATGTGTTTACGTTTTACCGGAATCGTTCGCGGGACCTATTTTTCAGAAATTGTATGCGATTCGAAAAACTCGCGAAAAATGGGTCCTCCTGAAAATCAAGTCGTCTCCAGTAGTCGTTTTTTGACCAAGTGTAAGCACATAAACGAAGCCTCAAATGCTGGCGCGTGTACGCAACATTTGAAATTGTGTTTGTGGGCTTGCACGTTGTTTAAAGAAAAGTATATTACCGACGAAAAAATAAATAAAACAGAAGAGTTCAAAAGAGAGGTATAAAACGCCGAATGTCAATGGTTAATATTCAGTTGTTTGTGTACACCACGTTTATGATCCCTTATGTTTTCGTCACTCTTAAGATATCAGGACTACGCATAATTAGCCTAACCCAACTTTCTGCTGTGCTTTAGAAAGGGTTTTGTGTGTTTGTGTGAGTGGATCGCTTGACGTGGCTACGCTCTGGTGCCTTTGTTGGCGCAGCACTCATGGGCCGGCACGGATCGCAGTGTACTCGCCTTGAAGAGGGCGTAGCGTCGGACGATGTTCCTTTCGGGCTTGGAGGCCTCGTACCTCTCGTGGAGCCTGATGAGGGCACACTTGACCGTCTGGTAGGACTCGCTCACCTTGGCCTGGGCCATGAACAGCCTCTCGCTCGTCTGCACGGCTCCCTCGCGGGTGTGATCTGGGCAGCATGGAGACGGAGGCGTCGAGGGAAAGGCTACATGCTACACAAAGACTACACCCTTAAAGGGACACTGACAGGGTATTTATGCTCGCCCAGGTTTATTTGCACATGACATATGAGAGCCCAACTACACAGAACAAAATTTGGGACTGGATTTTTGTTTTCTTTCCGCCCGAAAACGTCTGACCGAGAACTGGCCGGTTTGAGTCGCGCTCACTCTCTTCTCCGTGGTCACTTGCTGTTTTTTATGGTTTAGACTAAACCACCAAAGATAATCAAAGCCGTGTGCCATTGAAGGCACACACTCATTACTATAAATGTGCATAAAGTATGATACCTATTTTTTGTGGCTGTTAACTGCAAATACGGTGATTGAAAAATAAAAAAAAGGTTGCACAGCCACATGACTTTCGGTATCTTTCTCCTTATCTAAAATTCTTCTTTATCCCTGTCAAGTTTCACTTTCGGTTTTGAGCGGTTGCGTTTTTTTACTCCATTAAAAATATACGTGACACTGTAGCAAAATATTGATTGGGTATTCTTCTGACACCATAATAAATCACCTGGCAAAAAAAAAACAAAAAAAAAACAGCTTGGGGGTGCAAGTGTCTCTTTAAAACGCTGAAATTAAAAAAAATGCTTTGAAGTTTTTTTTGTTTTTTTTAGGGGGGGATGCATATTTGTTATTTGTTTTTTCCGCAAAAAAAAAGTCAACAACAACAACAAAAAATTGCGGAAACTTTAAACCACTAGAGTTAATTTAGGTGGAGGTACATCCTCCTCTAGGCCCAGCCAAGGAACCTAGCTTCATTTCTTGGCTCTCATAGCTTGGAGGGGTGATTGACGCGTGGAATGTTCGTTGCAAAAGTGTTTCTCCATGTTGCAGTAGTTTTTTATTCGACACCTTTTTTTTTGTGTGTGTGTGTGTTAGAGAAACAAACAATATAGATACAGTCATTACTGTTTTTTTTTAAATATCGCGAGATCGTCTTTCCCGCTTTGGTTTGAAACGATAACAAACATGTTGCTGCCGGTATTTTCGGCGAGCGTTTGACCCACTGCTTCGATCGTTGAGCTCACCTGTTTTTATGAGTGCGGGTCGTTTCGCGTTCACGGAGGTGTTTAGAGGAAGATTTCCTCAACCGACGAAGCTCGCAGCAACCAACTGTTGCAAGGACACGCCTTCGGAAGAACTGCGCGGGTGCTTGTTTTTGTGGCGAGACTAGCGTAAGCCTAGCGTCCCACGTCAACGATTTTTTTCTTTATCTGGCTCGACTTGTTTGTTAGCGCGTTTTGATTCCGAATAAATGTGTCGGTTCCCGTAAAAGCGGTGCCGCTACTCTGAGAACCGTGCAACCGTCGTGATTGCGACCAAGGTTTCAGTACTGAGAGGCAACCTGCAAAGGTAAGACTGTGCGAGCCATTTCGTCGGAAGGTATCGGGCGTTCGCTTCGCATTAGGTCTGATTAGGTACGTTTCCGTCCTTTCGCTTCGGAAGGCCCGTAGATCTCAAAATTTGAGCTGTGATCCTGGCTTGTTAGAGCGAGTATTTCTAGGTTGCGTTTCAATTGTTCGTCATGACGCTCACCATCTTGCTCGCGGAAGCTATGCAAGAAAAAAAAAAATGAAGGTGAAAAGGACTGCGTTTTTTTTCTTTATTTTTTCAGTGCCTTTTTACTGCCCATCGAGAGGCACTGACAGACCCTTGTAATGGACCGGGACTTGTGCATAATGAAGCGCAAGGACGCCGCTTCTTTGGGCTATGTTCCAAATCTTACACAAATAAATCCGAGTTAGTCCGTCGGGTCGTGTCACGTGATAGCACAGATAGAGCAAATCTGGACGTGGTTAGGTTTTCGAGCGCCAAAGCATAAAACGCTTACCCTAGAATAAGATGTAGTAACTTTTTCAGCGTGGCTTTGGTCGCGTCTTTCGAGCTTCGCAGTCGGCTTTGTGGCGTGTTTACACTTGCGGATTCCCATACGAATCCGCGCAGGCAGAAAGTAGATTTTGTAGCCGGGCGCCAAAATCGACTCGTGAAAAATCTGGATCAGTCCGGGGTCCATATCCAGATTTTCCGCCAGCGACAAGTCGATTTCACCACCCGGCTCTAAATTCCACTTTAGCCTGCGCGGAACCGTCCGCAAATCCACGAGTGTCGATGCGCCATTAGGCACGGGCAGAATAGCAGACAGATTCAATTAAGAGAAAACGGACGCAAACGCGCCGCTTTTCTGGCCGCGTCTCAAGGGCGTTGCAGGCGATGATAAACGGTGCTAAGATAGCAGAGGATGCCGGAGGCTACCGCGTGTCTGCTCGTGGGGCTAGCAGGTGGTGTCAGACGCTCAACTCTACGTATATCGCACCGGACATAACGAGATGAAAACACTAAGCTTGAGAATATGTTCGGCCGAGCAGCCAAACCAATCCAGTAGTCATGGGCGGGACCACTGATCTTTGGGCGGGGATCAAAGTGGGCCATAACCTGCAGTTTAATTGAGCCTAAAGGCGTAAGTATTACACAAAAATATATTTTTAACGTGGCGAAGAAGTAATAAAATCAAGATAAGTGTCGTACCTAGGCCTATTCAGAAGCATTTTGTTTTAATTTAAGTATTTTTAAAGGGTGTAGATCAGCTTGGTCCCACACCATGAGGGTGCTATTGCCGCTACGGCACGCCAGCAACCTGAAGGTGTTACCATTATGCCCGAGGTAGTCCAAGCGCCACTACAGCAACACAGAGAAGCAACCGACGCCAAGCGTCAAGCACGCGCTGTACGCACACGAAGGTTCCTTTGGCCGGCTTGCAGTCTTCTCGGTGCTCGCGAAGTAAGTGTGAGTGATTGAACGCCTGCCAGAGCGCCACCCGAATAAATTCGAATTTTTTTTTTTTTTTTTCATAGGACATTTTTTTGTAGCAGGAGAAATCATGCACGTCGTTCTATTGGGGGGGGGGGGGGGTGGGGGGGGGGCGCTGCAATTCAACTATTCTCGCGGTTCCATAATGCTGCTCTGCGTATTCTATATCATGTGGCTTAATGGTTGACTGTTGTTTCCCGAATCGCAAGTCAACATCGGGGAAGACTTCTGGCGTGCCTTTGTACCAACTGCCGAGCGATGGATCGTTAAACTTCGCGTAGAAGAAGAGGGCACCAGGGGAGAAGTTTGTTGTGAAGGATAAATCTTCATTTACGGTTGCATTCAGCGCACACTTTAAACCGGAGGATAGTGTACCGGGATACCGCACAAAGAAGGTGGTCCGTGGAGGCGGACTTACGGTGTTCGGCGACTTTTCGAAGGACCTAATTCCTGCACTCAAGAAAGCCCGACAACAACCCCTTCTGAAGCAATCGGCCCCTGCATCGAAAAGTAAAAAGCGAAAGGCAGATGTGTTCATTCCCAAGAGGATTATGAACAGACCGACTGAGATGAAACATAAGGCTCTCAAGCAGGCGCTTTCGTACCTTTCGACTGCATAGCTCTACAGAAAGCCCTCTTCGAGTATGTACATGTATAGCAGCGACGTATCTTACGACCTCGCAGCGGCGCAGCTACCGTTTGGAGGTTCCAGCCAGCCATGTGGCAGTTCCGCATTGGAACCATACGTGCTGTCATGCCTCACTAAAGAGGATGTGAGAGAGCGAGCGCGTATCCAGTCCGGCCGAGCTCAAAGATACCTTCGCGTGCATGCAGCACGTGCATGATGCTTGTAGGTGTCGGTTGTTTCTGTTTGTCGCTCTGGTGGGACTACAGGCATTACAGGATCCTAAAGCGGGGTCACACTGCCCAGACATCATACGAATGGCAGTCTGCAAACGCGAGTCACCGCAGTATCTGTGGTTCGAATGCCCCGTGCCAAGCTTTTTTTCTTAAACTCATTGCCATGCGGCATTCGAAGCACGGATCTCGCGGTGACTCGCGCTCGAATCTGTATGCAGACTGTATTTTGTATGATGTATAAGCAGTGCGACCTCGTCTCCAGGGTTTTTCTGTTACAACCTCGGGATATAATAGCAGTTGCAGCTGTAAAATGCGATCCTTGGTTGGTTACGTACAGCTGGAATAGTAATAGCAAACCCATTTACTCCATGCAACAGTTTACGGTCAAAAAGAGTGTAATATTCTCAACAAGGGTGCTGAAAGGATATAGTCATGAGGTAAGTCGATAGAGCACCTTTTTACACTTTTAAGGGTGTAAGATCTCTTAGTGCGTACTCTCCGCCTATCTCTAAGCTGACAATGCGGTGATAGCTACGCGTTCGCCGTACCAATCAATCGGCCAAACTCACCAGCTAATTCGTCTACGCCACCGCTAGTACACCCTACCACTGCTGTCTCCATGTATCAAGAGAACTAAGGCCTTTTTTCACTCGCGACACTTGGGGTCTGCGCAAGCAAAGCACGAGACTGCACGAGCTAACTCGTGGACGGGCGTCCTCTTGTGAACTACTGCCATGGCCACCATGGCCTCCTCTATATTCACAAAGCCTCGCAGTTAGACGACAGAGCAACAGACTGCTCGGTCGCAGATTTGGAGCGCGAGGGTCTGGTAACACAGAGCTTCAAAGAGCCATTTCTCGGGGAACCTCGACGCCAGCGCACAGCGTTTGCAGCGGCGAGGACCCGAAACACACTTGTTCGTTCGGGAGAAGTATGTTTCGGCGTCTCGCCGCAGCGGAGTGCCAGTCACGTGGCTCTCCTCTCATCCGTTGTCTAACGCTCCACCTTTTCTATTTCGGCGGCCACTTCTCGTGGCGATCTTCCAGGCTCTGTCAGTAAATAGGAGGCTATGCCTCTTGTGAACTACAGTTATGACGGCGTTACGCATACGTGAAACGCTTATGCTTTGTTTCATACTTAACACACAATGCTGTCAAGGCTGCTGTCGCGAGCATTACGACTGCTAACCTGAGGTTTTTACGTGAATGACGCACTAGCGGTTGCACGATTGCACGCCGGTTCGACGCTCATCCAGACTGGTGGGACGCGGGGATCGAACACAGGAATCCCCCCCGGCCCCTTTTTGTTTTAACGTATATCAAACTCTACCTCAGAAAATATTTTGTAAGCCAGGTGGATCCTCCCCTACATGACACTTCATCGCAATTATAAGTTTAAGCCGCACGTAAAATTCAAAATTCCAACAAGAAGTACATTTTGTATAGTCTGACGGAAGTTTATGCGATCACATAAACAAAGAATATCAGCCACATATTAAGACATCAAATCAACACAATCGAAACGAATACATTGGAGAGCTGTTTTAAATGCCAACGCAGCCGCAGAAACCAAAGGTTTTTTAGAGATACTTCTACGTCCAAACCTCTGCCTGCTATCAGTTGCACATTTTTAGTGCACTCGAAAATAGCTAAAGGTTGTGGTTTCGGGTTTTGTGCGATGGTGCATGACTCTGACAGCACCAAGCGGTGAGTAAAGGAAGCTATCAAAACTTTTTTTTTTTTTGCGCTCTTGTTCGCATAAAAATGTGTCAGCAGCTGACTTTCAAGACAGGAAAGTGTAAAGTCTGGTCGAAAAAAAAAAATTCGCTGGGGTCGAATGCTATCAGAGTCATAAATGTGAGGTTATATGCTTTAAAAAAAAACAAAAAAAAAACATAGCTTCCCGAGATTTTTGAAAGAAAGTGAAGTTACAACATCTTTCTTTTATTAAAACGAAATGACTTTTTTTTTTTGTCAAGAGTTCCGGCTGTTTCATTTTTTAGTTCGCCGGTGGGTTTTTGCTTAACGTATTCAGCCAACTCTTCAATATGTCATTTCATTTCACGTCATTTCACGTCTGCTAAATTTTGGTTTTTAGATTTTGAGTTTTTTTAAAAGGTGAGTGATCTCCGCTTCTAAAAGTAAGGGCCCGTTTTCAGCTTGCGAAACCTTCCTTACCTTAGAGGGCAAAACTTTCCTAATATAAAAAACACAGACACACACACTTAAAAAAACAAAAATACTCAGGCACAATTAGTAAGAGGGAAAAGGTTTGTCTTTTCTTTATGGCTTAAAAAACAAATATATTCTGCGCTCTGGGGAACCTTTGTGACGGCCACAATGGAAATGGTTTCCTTACACAAAAAAATCCAGAGTATTGCGTACTAATCTAAACAAACTAGAAAGAAAAAAAAATTGAAGCACCGGCACCGGGAAAAGTATTTCAAGAAGTGCAGCAAACAGAGAAACACTTTTTTTTTTGTTCGTTTAACCAGGACTTTACCAAAACGGCCTAAATCTTCCAGAACGTTCAAACTCGTATTTATTTGCAAAGCAAAAGAAGCGCGTAAAATCTAGCTTGGACATCGATTGCGAAACCGAATATTTCGCTCTACGAAAGTGCGCGTGAGCACGATGAAAAAAGTAAAAAAATAAAAAAAATAAAGAAAGAGAGGAGACTACGTCTGGGGCCACAGGTGCGCCTGTGTTTTCATTCTTTTTCCTTCTCTCACGCGTTATTGGCGCCAGCGGTTCGGTGCATTTTTTGTTCAATCAACACATTTTTTACAGAATTCAAAGTCGGTCACTACACTGTCGAGGATGCTTTGCAAAGTTCTCTGCCCAGAAAAAAAAATATCTAAAAGTATTTCAATGTTTTTTCTTTATATAACAGTAGTTATATAAAATACCGCGCGTAGCGAGAGCTACGCGCGGTACGTTTCGCACTGGAATCAAATCAAACCTCCCCAGCAGGAAAGAGCGCTTATTGTGTTATAGACGGTATTCAAACGAAATTAGGTTCGGAAGCTCGAAAACGTTTAATTTAGCGAAATTTTCTAAACGTTAGGCGAAGAGATATGTGTTGAGCACTTACCGAACTCGACATCCTGGACGAACTTCTTTACGGATGTTGTGAACTTGCCAACTAGGTTGGATCCTGAAAATAAAAGAGAAGGACGCGAGCAGTTTATTTACGACAAAGGATAAACCAATTTCAAGTTTACCGTGCCAAAAAAATCTAACACCGCAGTAAATAAATGTGCGTGATAATTTAATACGCTAAGCTCGTTACGTCCACAAATCCTACTTAAAAACTAAAGTCGCTAGCAACCTAGGAAGGACGCGGTGTGTCGAGTCCCCAAAATTTGATTATCGGTCCAGTGTCAATGAAATTGCGACATTCGCAGATAACGGCGCCGAAGAACCAATCACACGAGGCGAGCAGCTCCTCGAACATAATGAGTGACGCCCGGCGTTTATTAAGCTGTGAATGACCATAGTTTTTTCGTCGTTTTAGAAGAAAATTGAGGAGAATTTTAGAGTAATGTTAAATAAACCCGCTTCTTGGTGAAAATCAAAAACATCAAAGTATTCACGAAAAAAAAAAACAAACGTAGTTTAAGACAGAGCTTTTATTTATAGAAACACAAAACAAATCCACCATGCACTAAACTTCGGGAATGTTAGTTTTAGGCCTTCTTATCGCTCTGCGGAGACCAAGTTCGTCTGCTTCCTTTTGCACGGGTTGTGGTGACGTCAGAAAGACGGCGAGCTCTGATTCGTTTTAAATAAAAGATAGTGGGTAGACCTCGAGGTAGCGTACTTTGAGGTCTACCCACTATCCTTCGATCAGAGCCAATCAAAACTCGGCGTCTTTTTGACGTCACCGCCACTCTCGCGCAAGAAGCGGACGACTTGCTCGCCGCATAGTGGCTGACAACGTGAGAAGTACGAGGCGGTGCGAATCTCGGGCATTTTATTCTGGCTCTTTAGCCAATGAAATTGCAGCATGAGCGAAGGAGAACGCCGACGGACGAATTACGAGGCATGAACATAAAGATTAGCAGCGACCTTTATCTCTAGAGTCACTGAATGCACGAAATGCGTCGCTTAAGTTGCGATCGTTTAAAATTATTTAGAAGACAATAAACCGTCGTTTCAGGGAGTGAAGAATAAAACGCTGGTTTTATCCATTTTCCACTGCACGCTATGCGGGGAAACTGGGTTCACGGGTTACTTAACATCAATTTACATTTACAGAGGAAACTAAAGTTCTGTAAGGTCACGTGACGTCAATTGTTCTGCTAGATTTAGTGGAGAAACAGAATTGTTTCTAGGTCACGTGACGCAAAGTTACGTGACGTAAATTGTTTCGCTAAATTTAGCTAGAAAACTAAATGTGTCTAGGCCAAGCGAAATCGAATGCCACGTCAAATTTAGTGGTGAAACTGAATTGGTGTATAGGTCACGCAATAGCGGGTAACGTGATGTACATTTTTCCGCTAAATTTAGCGGGGAGATTTAATTGGTGTAAAGGTCTCGACGTCAGGTCGCATGACATCAAATTTCCCGTTAAATTTAATGGACAAAACCAATGAGTGTATAGGTCATGCGATATCAATTTCCCCGCGAACTTTGGCGGGTGCAAAAGGGTGAAAGGTGACGTCAGGTCACGTGATGTTAATTGACGTCACGCAACCTAAACAGCAATTCAATTTCTCCGCTGACTTTAGCGGGAAATGTCCAAACGGATGGACGGACAAAATCCGTGAAAAAGCATTGCATAGTTTAACGAGTCACACAACGCGTTTTTTAAACCGGCAAAGAATATAACAGCTTTTTCTACAACTTACACACGTGTTTTAATAGTTAGCAACATTTTAAAGGCAAAAACTATCGTCTTAGTTACACCAGCCTATGCACAAGCCCGCATTATACCGCAGCACAATTCATTACGGCTGTAAACCTGCGACAATTTTGGCAGTAAAACCAACAAGCAAACGCCGCGGCTCTCAAACTATTCCGAACTAAATGACGTTAAAACGTTAACAACTAAAATTCGTCGTAAGCCCACACACACCAAAGGAGCCTAAATGTATGCGCGAGGCACGTCAGCTCGCGTGTATGCTTTCCCGCTCCGCGAAGACTCGACCCCCAAGTCGACAGTGCGGTGGATGCTACTCGTTCGTCGGGCCAATCAGCTGCCTCCTTTTCGTCACCCGAACCCGCCCTCTGCGCGCGGGGTACGGGCGGAAAAGGGGATCACGCGACGAAAGATTTACATACAACCGGTCAAGCGACCGAGCACGTAGCTTCCGCCACAAGGTCAGCTTAGGGGCGAACTGAGTAGAGAAGGAGCAAGCCCGTTCCAACTTCTCACTCATTAGAATCGTGGATATAACCCCGGGAATCAAACTTTTCTCCCGAGTACGCGACCGCTCTCCCCCTCTACATCTTGCCTAGACTACGCGGCGCCAAAGGGAGAACATTCATTCTGCCTTCCGACGCGCAGACGGCGGCGCCGCTTGAGCCCCCAAATTGGGACCGACTGGTAGAGAGAGAGAAAGAGAGGGAGAGAGGGAGAGCTGCAAAGCCTCCTTTTCACGGGGCCAGCCTGCGTCAAATGCAGTCGGGCGCGTTCCTGCCCCTTAAGCGCGCGCTTCCCCTCATCAAGGCTCTCTGTGCGACGGAGCCGACTTAAAGGGGCCGACGCGCCAAAACGATCCGTCTGGAAAGTGGAGGGCCACCGTCCCTCCGTCCGGTCAAGTTGAATTTAACTTGAGAGTTTCACGAACGGAAAGGAAGGGGTTGGCGGCTGGTCGGATCGGTAGATTAGCGTAGGGTGTGAGTAGTCTAGAAAGAAAAATAAAAGGAGAGAAAGAAAGAGGGAGAAAGAAAGGGGGAGGAGGAGGAAGAGTGGCGGGAGAATAGAATTCCGGAGGGTTCGAGTGATTTCGGAAATTTAGTTGATAGGACACATTCACCGCCAATAAGCATAAATGAAGGGATAATCGTTTCTGCGATGTTTAGCTAAATGGCCGAAGCGGCATGACTGCGGAATACGACATCCGCGTCTTAATATTTACCGCTCTCGCAACGTAGGAAGAAACCGTACTCTTACATTTCTTGTATACTAGGTCCCTCGAATCATAAAGCCTATCCGACTCTCAGATTTAAACGTAAGAGATATTAAGAGCGTTGTCGCGAGTTCCAAGTTTTAAATGATTACTTATTTTGGCAGCCAAACAGCGGTGAGAACACAAAAATGGGAACAGCAACTAATACAAAACACAGCTAAATGTCGCCAGACAATCGATTACCTCAAAGAAAAAAGAAAGCTTTGTGTTCAAACCAAGCAATGGCAAATTTTATACGTTTGTAACAACCCCCGGGCGGTTTACTTTACACATTAATCGTACGAGGTAAAATGTTGTTATATATGCAATTAGTTGATGTCTGTTACGCGTTTTACCGCGGGGCTATATTCTTAAATGAACGGTGCAACAATATTGAAACTGTGGGTAATTAATTACTGGATTTAGTCAATGTCACCTCTAGAACGACGAACAGAAAACTATTTTCATATTGGGTGCGCTAGTTTGAAAAAAAAAAAAAAAATTAATCGAAGCTCAGGGTACCCCTCAACTTCCACCATCTTTTCAGTGAGGTGCACAGTGACGTCACTGGGAATACCACGTTCGGTTCTGTCTTTTGGACCCACAGTCCTCCCTTCGCGATTGTCGACTTGTAAAGATCCGATTGCGCTACAATAGAGCACCGCACCCGCTTAGCAGCTTCGAGGGTCACGGCGAGCAATCGTGACAGTACCGTTTGTCACGGGAACGAGGGAGAGGGTAACGGTGAGTAAGAAATGTTTTTTTTTTTTGTCGACATCCGATTGATGGCGTTGCGAAAACATTTCACTGTGGTACCCATGACCACCGCACGCAAATGCATTACAGGAGAAAAAGTGAGTTTTTCTTTTTTGCGATTACGCGGCGGAATTGGAGTGTTCTTAGAAAGAGTAACGCGTTTTTTTTTCGCTTCTACCAAGATAAATAATATGAGAAATACTTCTTTCTTATTTCTACGTAAAAATCCTTGCAATGCCGCTTTAAAAAAGAAAAAAAAATTGTGACAGTGCAAACATTTGTTACGTTGGTTTTTGTTAGGCTTTTATTTTTTCTCTCGCGTACCGACAGCACAAAAATGAAACTCTGAAAGGAACAATAGCCATCGAGAGACCGGCACGCTTTTTAGTTGCTGGTAGTTAAGCGGGCCATTAATTTTTGTTTCTACTTAAAATCTTTATTTTATCTCCTTGGCTGTCTTAATCTGAAGGCCACCAGGCTTTGAAAAAAGGGCGAAATGGAAAGGTGTATTTATTCTTCTTAATTGGTTAGTTCGAGGAGCGCCGCGTCGGCAATAACCTGCATTTTTTGCGCACTAATTCATGTCGCTTTTGTCTCCGCCGAAGAAAATGAAAAAAAAAAAAGGTACTTGGACACGTTTTTTCTTTAGGAAGTTGAATTATGTAGTTTGAAAAATGACCTGTTTCTGCTACAGGAAAAAAAATGTATTGCAAATTTCTAGGCAATTGTATTGGATACTGAAACGTTCTTACACCACAAACGCTAGATACCTTGTGACATTTCTTCTCGAGCTGTGCCTCCAGGTTTCTCCACTCCTCTCCACACCATTGACTCATTAGGGAGTTTTTGTAGACCAGGTTTTCCAGTCTGCCAAGCTCTCTACAACGAAGAAGCCACTACTGCGCGTGCGCGCCAATGGCTTCGACTGTAGAGTTCTGAGTACCGTAGCGGGTTGCCGAGAGCGTTGCCGGACGGCGAAAACGATCTACGAAAACTTTCTATTGACCCATTGACTTTCCCCGTCGGGTCGGCCTTTGTTCACAGAGTATGGCCAATGACGGGTAGCGAAGCGGGTAAACAGAATTTATGTAGAGGTCACGTGACATTATTTTTCCGCTAAATCTGGCGGGAAAACTAAACTTGCATAAAGGTCATGTTCACGCGACGTCCATGTTTCCGCTATATTGTAGCGGGGAAACTGAATGTATGGATAGGTCACGTGACGTGAAGTCACGGAACGTGATTTTCTCCACTAAATTTAGCGGGAAAACTTAATTTGTGTTGA